CCCCCCCCCCCCCCCCCCACTTCGCGCCCAGCGCAGCCGACTACGATCCCGAGATGACAACAGTACCGCTAAATGTCAGTGGAGCAAATGATTTGCACTGGCCCGTGTGACCTCCTCTTTGAACTGACTGGACTCTCTCGTATGCCCAACCCCATTGACAACTGCGACGCGCCGAGCGTGGCAACTGCGGCGTCACCCAGTTTCGACGGACGCGCGGAGCACCCGGTTTCATGAGGTACTATGAACGAATTACGAACGCACCCAATGTAATGGTATTTACGTCTATATTGAAACTATTTCTAGATGAATGGAGCAATCATTCATATTCTAAATTAGCTATTATCGACAAGATGTATTTTTGGATGGGACGATGCACGCCGCTGCAGCAACTCGCCTTCTCTGTCGTCTTTGATTAGCTTTCGAGAAAGCATACAAGGCTGTTTGAAGACGATATTAGAAGTAAATTGCGCTAGCGATAATTATACCCATACTTCAGCAAGCGAAGTGAATAATAAATTCAGCTTCTACAAGATGAAGTTTAACACCAGCTATTTCCAAACTTATTTCTGCGCATGAAGTGTGGGAAAAAAACTTATTCCAACTCAATGCTTACCTGTGGATCCCGTGACCGCAGTAGGCCTTGACCACAGAGAAACCATTTGCGTTGGCATGTTTTTGAATAACATTCCCGATTTCTCGGAATTTCACGCCCGGCCTCACTTAAAAAGAACACTCTTGGAAATGGAGAGCCCGTTCGGTAACCCACGGCGTCATCGCCATGTGAGCATTTACTGTTACTATTACCCATTGCAATGGCCTGTTGTAGGCATTCATACGTGACACGTACAAGATTCCGTGACTCTTCATCGACTGCGTCACCAACAAGAAAGGTCTCATTCAAATCTCCATGGAATCCGCGATGGTATACAGTGACATCAACTAGAATCCTTATTCTTGAGTATTCATCAGAAAAGAGCTACTATTCAAAGAAGTATAGACGCAAATCTTACCATTACACAAATCACCATTCTCCAACACACGGAGATCCGGTATACCGTGACATATAACTTCATTCACTGAGGTACAGCAGCTTTTTGGAAAATTGTAATAGCTGAAAGTAGGAGCTGAGAACAGTCCAAACTTTGCAATGGTCGTAATCTTTTGGTTGTAAACACAAAATTCAGTTGAAATTATAAATAAACTACAACCACAAGAATTATATTGGCTTCCGATGTGATGTTTAGGAGACACAATGGTACCAACAAGTTTGTTCAATTGTTTATTCCACCTAGAAAATTGATGACGCCGTATCAGACACATCCCCGAAACTCGCATTTTTTAGAATCAAAACATGGAAAAATTATAACATTTGATGAGCTAAAGGTTAAAAATTAACTAGTAAAAATTCGAACATTTAATTACCTACCCTAAAGGACTTGGATAGCAGTCTCTCTCGATACAAGCCTCATGCACAACTCGGTCAATCTCATCGGTGGTGACACCTGGTGCGCAGGCCTTTGCTGCTTCGTTCAAAACTTCTCGACCCAGGCGACAAGCCACACGAAGACCTTCTTTTTCTTCGTCGTCTAAGACCTAGAATAACTACAATGAGAATCTCGTTAGCAAGTCTTCTAAAAGCTCTTACAGGGGGGTAATCGTACCTTGATCTCCCTGTTTTTCTTTGCTTGTCGCTCTTCAAACGAAACTCCTTGAGGATGCAGAGCATAGTCTGGACGTGTGATTGATTGTGGCACTGGTCGCCTTGGGGTGACTCGAGCAGGCCGTAAGGAGCCAGTAAACTAAATAGATCAAGCTGCACTACATAACATAATCACGGAACCCTTGATAACTTCATAACAACTATTATGTATTACATTTACGGTTACGCTTTCGGAGGAATTGGGACCGATAATGTTATGGGAAAAAGATATGCTCATATCTCACATATAAAAGGTTGGCAATAGAAAAAAAGGGAAATGGGAATGGGAATGGACCATGATCGACTTTCGTTTAATCATGGCACGAGCTATACTTGTTATTGTGCTGACATGAGCATTTCCAAGATTATACAACGAGCTGAAGTTTCAGAGTCTTCGCCTTCTTCACAGCCTAAAAGTTGAAGAACCAATTGTGACTGATCCCCACATAAGGCCAGACAGTACTCAAGACAGTACTCTGAACTAGTAGACCCCCTGAACCAGATCAATACAAGGGTGTTACAAGACTTACTTGATCTTAGAGGCCAACCGCTACGATGACCACATTGGTCGTCTTGCTAGTTGGCCTATAAGATGGAGGTAAGCCATGCAGCACTACTNACTACTTGAGAACTCACTTAAGTACTGTCTGCCCTTATGTGAGTACCAGTCTCATTGGTTTTCGACTTTCAGGCTCTGAAACAGACGAAAGGGCCGAAATGTCAGTTCAATAAAGTTGTGTAATCTTGAGAATGCCTAAGTTAGCACAATAACAAGTCCAGGAAATAGTAACGCTCAACGTTGATGGTGAGCATGGTGTCGCGGAACGCTTCTTCAGTGCGACCCTGTGAGTTTTCCTCTGAAGCATACGTCGCCGAAGACTCATACCATTCAACACCCAGAAAACATTTCGTGGCCGACCAGTCAAAGTGGCAGGGTAAAAGGGTTCGTATAGAATTTAACCTGGAACACAAAGAAACTAAAACCTTTCGAAAAATCATTGCTCAAACCATTATCCTTCAGTGGGTAACCTATCTTGAGACAAAGCGAAACAGTGAGCACCGCCACACTCGTGTCGTGGATACCGTGATAAAAGTTTCATGCCTCCCATTAACTTCTCCCTACACTTTTCATTCTAAAAATTAGGTTCCAGGAGGAAAAAATGACGTGAAGACTCCATAACAGGCTTTCCGGGTCTTCTGATATTATCCTAGAGTCGACAGAAGAACGTGCCTCTAATTCCAGGTAAATACGGCAGAAGTCTGTTATAAAAAGATACTGACCAAAGTATTCGATGATCGCACAACTGTGAAAACGTAACAAAAGGAGTATAGGTCTCACTGTGGAGAAAAACTTGCTCTGTGATCCTGTAAATCTATAGAAAATGCATAGCGGTAAAAACTTGCCTTGTAATTGGGCCACGGATTGTACGGTGCATCCGGATCATTGTGTTGATTTTTATGTGTAGCCCAGTTCGCTTTGAAGCACACCTAGGATGATATTAAATGAAGGGTAATGTTTTAAAAACGAAAAAACGCTAACCTGATCACAGAAAAACGAATCCTTCAGACCCAGTTTGATGCAGGTAGGGCAACGCAGTTTCGCTGGTTTACCGCATTCAAAACCTTCACATCTGCGCTCCTCTATCTCAGTCATTCCTGAATCATACAATATCAATATCCCAGACATTTGCCAAATCGAAATCAGCTGTATCAGAGCTTTCTGTTTCTGCCGTAGCCCATTACTGTGAAAATTTTCATCACCGTAGCAGCTGGGTTTAGACAGCAGAATGTGGCTACCTGGTCTGGAGAACACAGAAAGACTGACGCTGACGCCGGGGTCGGTTCAGAACGCTGTCGATTGTCACAAATCACCCGGCCCACCACCCGTCCTTATCTTTGCCCTAAGTTCTTTTTCAAACGTCATTTATGTAACGGATGAGAATTTGCATATTCAAGCAAAGCTATGCCGTGAAAGGAAATATAGTGTCTGTGAAATCCTGCGCCCATTGCATTTTATTTCACTGTGAAGTCACTGTAAGAATCGAGTGCCCCTACTGGACTATCGTTCTGTATTTTAGGTAGTCGTTGAATTAGAGAGGCACGTTTAAAAATTCGAACGGCATAACGTGCTTGCCAACCCCACCATTATCGTAGTAGGTCAGAGATGAGCTTCCCGAAACACAAATCGACAACTGGGAGGTATTAAGATGAGAACTAAAACTCATGTTCTCCAATAACAATGTGGGCACGAAAGGTCCCACCCTTCAAGGTCGGTGCACCTGCCGCAAATTCAATGGGTGGTTGGAATGCGCTATGTGTAGGTAAATTCTGATTGACAAGACGCGGTCTGAAGAGACGATAACAATAACTGCATTCTGAATGAGACCGCTACCGAAAATTGCCGCGTGCTTATGCGCGACCGTGGGAATCCACTACTAAGCTCCCACCGAAACTGATCCGTAAGTTTGCTTTAGGTCGTCACACGTAATTCTACGTCCAAGGTATTTACGCTCGATAAACTCACAGAAAACCCGCAACTCTAACTCCCTCGCTGAGCGATCGGCAACCTACTCCCAAGTTCAGAGTAATGCAAAACATTTCGGAAGCGTCGGTTTCCTCTCCAGAATTGCAATGTCCAACTTGTGGAAGAGTATTTGCTTCGGAAGGTAGTCTAACTATGCACACGGAAAATATGCACAGTGGAGCACGACCGTATCCGTGTACCAGGTCTGATTGCAATAAGACATTTCCATCTGCAGAGCACTTGAGGAAACACATGCGGAATACACACAATCCTTCTAGGTAGGTCAATTTCGTGCTTTGTCCATGAACCAAATGAGTCATCGGTCTTTTTCAGACTAAAATGCTCGCACTGTGATTCATTCTACTCGACTAGTTCAGCTCTTCGACGGCACGAAAGGATTCACTCAAAGCAAAGAAGGTAATTACAATGGGTGATGAAGTTGCTTATGGTTACCGAAAATCGGAGCAACTCGGCCAGATTGTCGCAAACGCCAAATGGAAACAGGGGCCCAGAAGTAAACCGATGTGAACTACACACTGAAATATCCGCTGTTTCCATTTCGATGAGCGCAAATCAGTCCCAAACTGATTTGTAGACATCTTTTTATTCCACTCTTTCTCAGATTTACATGCACTCGTTGCGGTGCTGGATTCGACTTGAGTGAACCGTATAAGATTCATCTCCGTCAACATGATGGTCTACAACCGTATTCATGTTCCGTTTGCGGAAAGAAGTTCACGTCAAGGGCAGTTTGCAGAAGACATCGCTCTAGCCATGATAAAGTTTCATAAAGAAAAACATTGTAACATTTGAATATGTAAGGGTAGGATATCACCGATACTCATCCCGGACAACAAAGATGAATCTGATTTATCGAAACTATGTACATACAAATAAAATATATCGTTACATAAGCTCGTATAGAAAGAGGTCACTTCAGTGATCCTTGGAACAATGTTTCGAACATCTCCACTAATCTTCTCATCTCCTTGCTGAAAATAACGGTATGAATGAGAACAGGCACAAAGCATATTATTGTACACCTACATTTGTTTTGATAACGTTGCCATTTTTTGCATTGCGTGATTTACCTCCTCGACCTTTGCTAACATCTTAAATACAACTTATTTGCGATAACAACGATAGACAGATTGCTACAGTAATTAATAAAACCCGGATTTTTTTGAAGGTAGCATTTTTTCAATTCTACATTGGCCAACATTGGTTTACGATAAATTTTCATGTTGTGTGCTTTCAACTTTCATGTGTTTTTTCGTCCACAAACTTTCAAATCAAAACGATAGAGCGAAATATAGCCAGACTATGAAACCAACTCATGGTCGTGGTTACTTTGAGAGACCGAAGTTGCGCTTTTCTTCAAATTTCCTTTGAAGAACGAAAACCAAGAAACATAGTGTGTAGTGAATTTGTGAATTTCCATCCAGTTCAGCTCAGCACCCAAGTGCATCATTGAAAACAAGAACCGAGAGCAATTCTAAACACACATTGACCGTAAAGGTAAAGGCGAGATGGTTTAGCTAATGCTAAACTTGATGAGTAAATTGGACGTCATAATGATTAGTTTGATCTATCCGTGTGTAAAAATTAGATCCATTCCCCTTCACTCCCTGTTCAAGCTCCCTATTTCGAAGGGTTTCCATTTGCTAGTAGGTGAAGATTACACTATCACGAATGCTGGGTGAGTGAGGGAATATATTTCCGCAAACGAATGGATACATATTCGACTTACAGCGTAGGTAGACTTCACGTTTACGTCAGCAACATCACAAGCATTCGCTATAGCAATGTTGTAGCACTGAATGGACTCCAACGTCAGATCTCCCATTCCGTGAAGAGAACCTCTGATTAAGCCCTTTTGGGAATCTTATAGACGATTAGGATGAAAAGTGGGTTTACCTGAGATCGCGCAGCACCATATCTAAATTGGCAGAAACCTCTTTCGCATGAACTTCGAGATCGTCCAAAATCTGTAATGAATTTGGAAGAGGATGCAGCAAGTACATCGGGACAAAGAATGATATATTAACCCTAGGATCAGGGAGAGGAATACTCTCCTGAGATGTTTTAGGCGGATTTTCCGGTAAACGAAGCCTTTCTCGCAATCGCTCTTCTAAATCAGACGGTTCAAAAACCGCTGGTTGCTCCGCTGCCGCATCTTCTTCTCGGCTAGATGTCGATGCATCTGTGGAAGACATGTGTTTTACTCCTAAATTACTAATTCAGGCTATCTGATCCTAATGTCAACATTACAGCAAACACTTTGTTCAAAAATTCACTTTCAATCTTTGTTCAAATATTGAATGTAATGACATACTGCAACATGAACACTGCATGGATATAAGAAATTTATACATCTGTACGGCTCTGCACCGTATAACCTCACTTCATAGAGTTATGAAAAGTGTGCGTTCAAAATTTATCAACAAAGTTAGGTAAAGACTGCCGGCTATGTTTGCTTTCAAATGACACCATTTGGCTTTATAAGTGATCTTCCAACGTTTGGAAACTAGTTTATGCCTCTTTACTCGTAAATGTAATTTGGTCCTCCGCATTCTTAGCATGCAATCAAAACATCCGTTCTACGGTATTACAAAAAAACCATATCAATGCACAAAATATTGTAAACACTATATACACACCCTACGAAACACATGACCGTACTCAAAAAAGTTTACACTCAAGAAAGGATGAAATATCACTTTCACTTACCCGTGAACCTTAAAGATAGCTCTTACTGTAGCATGTCAATATCTTCGTTGAACGAGCGAGACTCTGGCGAAGGAGGTTGTTCTCCATCAAGGATATCGTTGTGCCAACTAGCCACGCCTGGTCTTCCATCACAATGACGGCGTTTGGCTCGTTGGTGGCCAGAAATCATTGCAGGGCCACCTTTCACAAAAGGTGCGCTCATACCATAAAGGGAGAAGAAAAGATCCATCAGCAGAAGTCTCGCTCTCGATTCCTGGAAACAACGAATACATGATGAATTAAGAACGAGAAAGTAATGATTACCAAGGAGGGTTTGCTCATTAGCATCCATAGCTCTTCGGCTATTTGGGCCGTATTGCAAGGATTCGTTGGACCTGTATCCGTGCTGTAAAACTTCTCATAAATAACGAAAATTCTGGTAAGGAAGGATTTGCTCTCGAACCAGAATGTATTCAAAGCAACCCGACCATTCATGAGTGTTGAACGGTGGTAAGAGTGCCAGTTCCGTGGCAATATGAAGTCGAATAGCTGGATCAGAATCTTGGGCTAACATAGTCAGCAATCTCATCAAGTCATTTGTTGACTGCTTCTTCCTGGACAAGGACAGCCTCTCCACAATGATTTGAAGGGCAACTTTGCGCATCTGGTAATGAAAACGAAATAAGTACAAAGATGTAGACCTGCACGGTAAATTTCGATTTCAAACAACCAAATGTGCCTCTTCGCTCACGATGGTGACAAAATGCTACCGTTTCTACGTAGTAAAATTGTCACGAGAAAGCTTGCGGACTTCTAAGAGTTCGAATATGTTCGGCGGGACTTTTTGGCTTATGTCAGTCTAAGGTGACTAGGGTGAGAGAGGACAAAGGCATCATATCTGACGGTCTTCCTAAATCGCTCAAACATAGCGCTAAAACGGAAAAGGTGACGATAACTTCGACAGCCCCCCCCCCNCCCCCCATCAAAATAAACTTACGTCCATTTTATTCTAAGCACATAATGAAGTTCACAGAAACGAGTGCTTTTGAAATGGCTAGTAGGGTCAAGGCAACCGCTGAAGATCTCGTGAAAAGAACTCAAAACCAGAAAAGATAGTGAACTCAAAACAGCTTACGTTGACGCAGAGTTTTGGTGCAGCGAAAACCCAGAAAATTTTCGAGTCAGATGGTATGTGTCCATTGCGTTGTAGCTGAAAATAATGTAAGCTCAGCTGAGGAACAAATGAATATGAATTTTGAATGGGAAATACTTACATGATGGATTACCGTGAGCGCTGCTACGCCTACCACATGTCGAAAGGAAGGTTTTATGGTGTCTAGATTCAGAGCGTGAGTTGTTTCCTGTAATGACTCATGAAGGATCATTGATAAGGAAGATATACTTCTGAGCAGACTGCACCTCCACAACTTCATTCATTTCCCAATTAAGTGCGTCTGGTATATAATTACCACCACCTAAGGTATTGACAGGCGCAATGCAGGCAGCTAATGCATTCAGAAGAGAGGCACGGTAATGATCATCGGAATACCTAAAAGGGAGCATCAAAAGCCACCAATGTCAGACGGTATCTGAGAAACAAGGAACTCGTCCACCACCTATTCATCGAATTATCATTGTAACGTATGTAGTCGACAATGAAGCACTGCACTTCTTGCAAAGCCATGCCATTTGTTCGCATTCGAGCCAAAGCCTGCGGAAGAACCTAGAACCGAGAATGGATTAGAAGATAGCCTACTAAGTGAATATAGGGAATTGTTCGACATGAGTTAATAACAAGCTCCTTACCTGCTGTAAAAAATATTGTTGAAGATTCTGAGAAGTTACAACAAAATTGTTTGATCTTGGGATTGTCGAGCAAGATTTGGCACCGTATGTTTTTCTGGAAATATTTCTCCAAGATGAAGTTCACAAAAAAAGAAATAACCCCAACCTGTATAAGCTCAAAAGGGCCGGTACTCCTGACCAGGTTTCAGGCATCTTATTCAGTACCTCTGTGAGAGCATAGGCAGCGTGGCACCTCACCCTGAAACACTAGTTTCCGCCTGGTTCATATTAGCAAATATTAGGTTGCAACATAAGTTCGTAGAGTTTTGCGTTGGAGTTATTTTGCAACGATTTGTTTTGTTTTTCAGCAAAGTGTATACATTCATTCGAAAGAGCTTTTTCTCCTCTACAAAACTGTTTTATCCGTTTTTTGGGGAGTTTAACTGTTCGTCTTTTTTCTGGCTCAGAAATGGAATATCTAGGAGGAAAAAATCAGCATTTTCGACATCTGCTTTTCTTGCCGAAGCAGCTCGGGAGATATGCAGTGTGTACAGGGAAGGTAACTTACATAGGTGTGTCTACTGCACAAAAATGGTTCGCAAAGCTTGAAATAGGCGACTTTAAACTTGAAGACACGCCTCGAAGCGGACGACCTGCAGAATTCGACCAAGAGCGTCTGAAGGCACTATTGAAGGAAGATGGTCGCCAAACAATTCGTGTATTGGCTGACTATTATAATAACTTAATTAATAATTTATTATTGCAATTATTGCTTTTTGTTCAGAGAAATCTTTGTGAAAAACTCTACGAACTTATGTTACAACCTAATATAACAGAAAACAGGAGACCAGCAGTTGGAATATTTAACTTTAAACCGACTTCTTCTTCTCCTGCGCAGCCGTAGGTCTATTGCTCGTAGTAGTTGCCATCACGTCCTCCTAACTGAAGCGTTATATGCCTTGAAGAAAGGTTTCCTTCGATCGCATTATTTCATCCCTTCCCCAGCGACCATGCGCCTCAACGTGTCGCTTTCCATAGGCACCGAAGTCCATTGCCTTTGCCGTGAGATTTTGTGGTCTATCCAACATGTGCCCATACCGTTGCAGGCGCTGCTCTCCCTTGTTCTTTGATGGGTAAGGGCCGTTCGCATAACCACCCTGACGTCCCCGTTTCTGACCTGGTCCACTTACGCTCAACCACAAGTTCATCAGGTCATTCTAACTCCTGTGGAAATCGCCTTTTGTGTTTCTTGCTCACAGGCATGGGCTCACTGCCGCAAAATCTTGAACCTCATCACTGACCGATACCCTTCTCATCACCACCTTGTTTCTGTGAGTGTCCTGGAACATTTCCAATGACAGGAGATGCTTGTGGGAACAGTTCAGCCCACATTCTTCTCCCTACTTACAGACCAGTTAATTCCTTCTTCATCTACGGTACATGTCCTTGAGGGTTGGTTGTCCTAGAATGTTCCGTTGAAGGAGCGCTCTACCACACGAGTGGCGGTAGAGCTCGAACAAACCCTCGTTAGCTAGGAGTGCCTACGCTTACGCGATGCACTCACTTACGTGTCTAACTGTAAAGATTACATCTGTTGCAGACATTCGAGGTATGAGGCCAGCTGTCTCCGCGAGAACCGAAACCCCCAAGTGATGTTCCACTGCATTTGGAGCAATCCACCGCCCCAGCTCTCCCCCTCGATTTTAGAGTTCATCGTCAAGGCGCCCAATTCAGCGTTCTTTGCTCACACTACCCTCTGGCGACCCTCTAGCAACTTCTGTAAACAGCTAGTTCTTTGCGGCCTTGCGTCTTTTGCCGGCAACTGTAAACGTCTTCTTTTACTTCAAGACTCGATCAAATCGTTCTTTTCACACCCATACTGCATTGTCATGTCTGGATTCGCCCATCGCATTAGGGACCATTTCTCTTCAACTCTGCAGGATGACCTTCACTGGAAATTTACTGGACAGGTTCATGTTGATCTAAAAGTTCACCAACTGGTACCCTTCCTTTGCGGTCCTCTTTCCTATCTTGGTGCAGTCTCTGCCACCGAAATCTCCGCTCCGCTCTTGGCTTGTACAGGTTTTGTATTTACAGGTAAGCCTATGGCTATATTAGTTAGCTCTGCGCTACAGAGCCATCTCTGCCAGCAATGCCTTTATGTTTCAGCGCTTGACAGACGATCATCTTCCAATCAAAAGATGTTGCAGCGCCAGCCCAGTGATCCCTTCCACCTTATGCAGCCGCACATATCACGAGCTAAGGAATTTTATCTCTCACCGCAACTGATCTGCGACATCAGTGGCGATGTAGGGTATTTTCACCACGACGAGTGATCTTGAAGAGAGCTACTTATGGAGGCTTAGATAGAAAGGCAGGACATGGTTTTTATAACGGCAGAGACTGAATTAGTGGCCTTCTTGTGTGAATCCGTAGAGCTGCTCTCTCGGACACTCGGCCAGTCCTGCTAGTTGACCTGAAGGAGCTACACCTATCACAATTGACTTTCCCGTATCCATTGTGCTACTAAGCCCAGCAAGAAATAGGTTAGTTTTTCAGCTGCTGTTAACTCCAGCACTTGGCCACAGCGCAAAGTCAATTTGCTAACCAATTCACTGCTTGAGACGTCTTGAGGTTGCGAGCGTGAAGAAGACTGTGACACTCATAAGTAATCATACCTGTAGAAGAAATTTTCGTTAGAAATTGTTTCCAGAAGCACGTCCCGACTCTGAGGATTAGGACAGAGCTGCAATCGTTCTAAAGCCTGAAAGTGTATCGATGTACCTTGCTCTGGGTAATTTAGCATACAAAATGAAGCGACAAATAAAATAAACAAATAAAACGAACCTGAAGTTGTGCGAGCACATCGCGCTCGTATCGTAGCATATATTCCCATTGATAGTCCGGCTGATTAATCATAAGATTACGGATGAGATGAAGCTCAGGATCAAGCCTGAAATCCTGTGCTAGAGGAAAGACAGTGGCAGAACAAGATCGAGTAAGTGAAACTGACCGAATCCACAAAACGGGAGAATCCGGATCCATATTGCTGAGATCGACCTCCACGTCGTCTCCGGAGTATAGAGGAACACGCTTCTGAAAAGGGGTTAGAAACGAATAAGAATGAAATCTAAAATAACGCCTAACCTTCAATCGAAATAGTTGGTCTTAGAATTAGTCGCCCGCTACAATTCAGATTACTCCAGTATTTTTTTGCCAAGTTATTTGTTTATTTACTCTTGCCAGGTCACTTATATAAAAGAGCGGGTGAATAAGGGCACTAACCTACATCCATGATTTAGAACAACAACTGATGCTGTCAAGTCGTGACCTCCTCGTAACAATTCCAAGTAAGACTTGCTTGTATGTTTATTAGGAGGCCACAATCAACGTTCTAAGAATAAAGACGGTTCATATATGTACTTTACCCAGAAAAAACATCCCGCGTATTTGTCTCTTTCTTTAAGGTACATTTGCTTCTTGATTTGAGGATCCTTTCTAGCTTTCGATCCAGTAATCAGAACATCAACAGGTTGGCATCAAATTTAATGCAAGTGGATTGAATAAAAATGCAACAAAGCTCGAAAATAAGAGTTCCCACTTTTTCGCATAACATTTCATGTCATCTAGCTTACCTTCTTCTGGCGACGACCTTTGGAATGGCATTGGAGATCTGCTCTAGAAATATCTCCGTCGATTTGCACGGTGTGGGAGAACGAACCATCTAACTCTTGCACCAAAACCGTTAAAGGACCGACATATCTGTATACTTGGTAGAAGATGTGCATAGAAAGTAGCTGATTCATGCATGGGTTCAAAACTGAATCAAGACCTCAATCGACCATTTCCTGGTTCAACTTTTTGCTTCACTTCCAGTTCGATCATATTACGCTTACGATTAAATACATATTGCACCTAAAATGAGGATTAGGGTAACACCTCTGGATAAAAAATCTGCAAGAAGAAAATTGACGAACACGGAAAGAGGCATGCCCGCCATTATAAATCCATTGTTCCATGAAAGTAGGGATCTCCTGTCCAGTCACATTAGTCACTGTTCTGAAGAAGGTCTCGGTTGAGATTACAAGATGGGTCCAGGTGGCCGGCCTATCACGTCGCTCCGCCATTTGTTGTCCAACAGAGAGAATTTTGTGTAACACCTGAACAGCCAAATTACCTTAAGCGAACATTTTCAGTCTACGTCGAGAAAGGATTGGTATAACGCAATACTCTCGCTCGTAGTACTACATTCCTTTCGGAAGATCTGATTCAACGGGGCAAGGACTAAGCAGGTACGAGAGCAAGGGTAAGTAACTCAACCACGTAGTTAAACGCGGACTAGAACCCATCAATTATTGCACACAATTTTGAAGGAACAACAGTTCGCGGAACTATGAACATGCTCGAGAATCACTTTTAAAAGTGCCGAATATTGCTTGCAGCGCATTTCTCCATCAGTTTTCAGAGCAACCAAAAGGAATCAGGAATGGAATCCACAAAGATTGGATTGAGAGCGGAAAATACCTGGAAATAGGGTTCATGTCCCAATCTCTTGCTGAGCATCCGCATGGCCAAATGACCTTTCTTTGTTTGATTCTTCACATAGAGAGGAGAGCAGGTATGTTCACATCGCGGCTCGCAGTGCAGATTCAGACGTGCCGCACCCTCACTCGATGGCCGTAGAATAATCTGAAAATACCATAAAACTTACTGTGGTTCATTGATTTAGGAACTTGACTGAATTCGTTCGGTAAGTGACTTGGAGAATTCATAGTTGCAAAATTGAAAAACCTCATAACGCTGTAATTTATCTATGATGGATAGCATCTGTGTCGAAGATGTTTGATTGTATCTCGTAGAATTTAGGAGAATTGCGACAACAGAACTGTCACCGACAACACACTAACCTTTCCCCACTGAGATTCATAGTCGCATACCGCATTCATGATCTTTTTCATTTGAAACAAGTATTCACTTGTACCAAATATTTTCTCAATGTAGAGAGATGTGATGAATCTGGAAAAGGGGAGATTTTTCGAAACAAGGAGTCGATAGATATTCTAAACGGGCTTCATCAAGCAGAGAACTTGCCTGGATAGGGAGCGCACCAGCCACGAATCCAAGAAATGAGCAGGTGAGATGAAACAACCGAAGAACTGTTCCGCAACACCCAACGCGAGCGTTTGTCTGCATTCCTAGGGCGAAAATAAATGGTATAACGCGACACTTTCCAAGGCTCACAATTAAATTAATACGTACTTGAACTACATCGATTATCTTCTTGTGATGAAGTGTATTTATTGAAAATAGAGTCATACTGCTATAAGAAGTCACTTCATCAGGAATCTGCAAAAAATATAGAAATTTTAGGTTCAGCTATAAGATATCTCCTACAATGAGAACGAAATCTCACCATATCCACAAACACTTGTTTATAAGTGGGATAAGGAAATCGGCAGGATAGTAGTTCTTCAAAATACTCTAGAATTTTGTCCAGAGGAGTAACCGTGTGCTTCAGCAGGGATAACAAACCGACAGGAGCGAAATTGGTTACCTTAAATTTATGCGGCTACTATCACTAATGTTGTCTTACTGTTCTAACGATCAATGAAATAGTAAAATACGTGGGATCAGAGCTAAAGTACGGTGATGCTTAATAAGATACCTCAGCCATGTCCGGAAGAGTGAAAGTTGAAAACTGCCCAACAGCAAATCCGATGCTGCAGGCTGCAGTAGGGATAAGCTGTTGATAATTCCACGTTCTCAGACGTTTATCAGCAACAGTATCGAAGCCCTGAAAATTCTTTAGAGAGGATCGCCACTGTTCACAAATGACAGCATATAGAAAACTTTACCACAAGATCACCACTGGCTACTGCAGTGAGCCAACTGTCGCAAGTAATATGAATACGCCAAAGAGCTAGTTGATCAGGAGCATCAACACAAGGAAGCCATTCTCGAGTACCTGGATAAATGAAAAAGCTCCAATAGACATTACAGCTGAATTGAATTCAATGGAAACAAACCGCACTTGTTAACAACGAGCTCCGATATGTAAAGACATGGGCTCCCTTATCAACAGTTCCGTCGGGCGCTACATTATAGACAAACTTTATCCCCTAAAATTTCTGTATCGAGTATCCAAAAAATCCTTTTGTAAATTGAAGAAAACCTTAATATACACTCACCTGAGTGGGTTTGTGTACAAGAACATCGACTTCGATTGTAATACATTTTAACAACTGGATGGTGAGTCGCAGTGCGTCAGGGATGGCGATTTCGAGAAACGCTGCAGTTCTGACATTAGTGGGGCGGCTTCGAAATTGCAAGTGTGCAAAGACTTCTCAAAGGCTCAGAGGAAAGAACCTCTCTAGAGAAAAAGAACCATACCGTCCTTGTCATTAATTGCGTTGTAATATCGAGGAAGAGCTTCCATGATCGAGAAACTGGAAGTTTGTGTAGCAAGCTAAAGAAGTAAGATTCCTCCTCTGAGAAAACACAAAACTATGCGAAGCTCCGCCACACCGTTGGCTGCATCAAACGAGAGTATTCACAGTCTGCACCATTGATTGTAATCTTCCCGTGCCCTCCCACTTCACTTGGGAGCAGAGCGCCTAAAATAAAGTCCGCGCATTCTCTTGAGGACAGTAATGATATATATGATATATATTATTTCAAAAATGTCACCAACATGAGCCAAGATGTAAGTGAATACTCCTCAAGTCCGATGACAGAGGAAGGGCTGTTATTTCGGTATGAACACGGAAAGACTCAGAGATAAATGAAATATCAGAAATGACTACCTGGAATATAAGATAAGAAGTTAGAGGTTTCATTCATCGAGGAATTAAATGGCACCATCACGAAATGGAGGTATATTACTGCTTTTCTTCTTTAATTTTTACCTAATGCAACGGATAAAAATGAAGAATATGGAGACAAACCGTTTGTGCAAGTACGCGGATTTCTCCGCGCACTTCAATTCCCGGGGCAGCGTGAAGGTCCTCATCTACTTCACCATTCGCAATGGCACCACCTTCTGGTTGTCCTTGGTTAGCTCGATCTCCCTGTATTTGTAATTATTACTAGATAATTCATAACAGTTGATGCTGTTCGTTTTCATAGAGGTAAATACTTTCATGCCATCCAGTCGGTAATGACAGCTCTATTTGAACTGGAACTTGAACTTTACGACGATATCACACGTGTATTATATATTGTCCTCATGGTACGGAAAAACTGATATCTTGATTTCATCTTAAATGATGACATTTCCTGAGATTCACACCACCAGCTAGAACATTAGCCAATGAAATGAACAACTGGCTACAATTTTCGTTCTACTGTTTTATGAGGAGGAATTGCAGAAGGAAAAGGTCAGCGTTAAATCCCAACTACAGTGCCCCATGACCCTTCGACATACAATATAATCCGAAAAGTTTGCCCTCGAGAGAAGCAGAAGAAGGGGGACACCCTTTCAACGGTGCCAGCACGGGCGAGTTTCAACAGAGGAACATTGGGGATGACTTATTACCCAAGGATTCCCTAACCACTTACTGTGATAATATTGCTAGCAATAAAATGTTATGCTCTTCGACATCCACACTTCCGCGAAGACTCTCACTGTAGCGCCCTTTACGTAAATGAAAAAAAACGACATAACAAGGAGACACCTCGCTTTCCATTTCCAATGCTTACTACGAATTCTCGAGTAAAAATTTTGAAACACATTTGCTGTATCGCTTATAGTGTTCGGCAATAGGAGATAGATTTGCATTCAAAAAATCTCGCCTGAGAATACGTAATTTTCTTATGACCAATTGTACTCTGATTGTCGCTCTTAAATCTTTCAATTCCTGACTCTTGAGAGATCTCCATAACAAAATGGTAATCCAAAGGGATGCAGCGACAGAATGCCAGCAAAGCAAAATGGGAGCGTTTCTAAGTAGTTTGGCGATCACTCAGACGGACGTTTATTGTGAGTTGAGCAACCTAATCTGTCTGTGAAGCCCCTGGAGAACACAAGGGGCCACTCTCTGTTTGAACCAGGTAATTTCAAGCACGAAAGCAATTTTTGGTTATGCACGCACCGCTGCTTCATTTCCATTGACGCGGGCTTGGATGCTATATGGAGCTACACGATCAAGCACGGGAGGTTTTGCGTCCGCACCATTCATAGACGTCCAGTCCATTGCCGATGACGGCTCCCGTTTCATGATGGCAAGGCTTACCCCCGAAATCTAAAAAGTTGAGAAGAAAGTGTATTTTACAAATTAATTTCCTCGTAGAAGGATTAAAAAGCAGGCTAGAAAGCTAGGTAAGAGTGGCAGGATAACTACCAGAGATTTACCACGAAAATTTGGACATATGAACAATATATTTTTCATTCAACCAACAATTATATACAATTCGATCAACAATGTAACAATGACAGAATCACTCAGAGGTCACCGAAACTAAAACTCGCGATTCACCAGTCGCAACCACAAAAGGGAATAGAAAATCATCTACTACAACTGAAACCACATGCATTAATTCAAAGTTATCAATGAAAATTGCAACACTATTCTCACACCCATTTCAATGGGTAAATAGAGACAAACGCACAATTTTATGAGGAAGTCAGAGACGAAAGCCCAAATCAGTGTGAAATAATGATTTCTTCATCAATAAGAGCTTGCCTTATGTTTGGGTATGAAAGTAAATCCTTCAGGTGTTGGCCCAAGCAACATTCGACTTATTTCTATCCAGTCAGCGGCTCGGTAGCTACTCAGTAGGGTTTCCAGGTCGTTTCGCCCATAATACAATGGTGGTCGGTCATTCATTCGTTGAGGAATGCGTTCTAGTATACCAACAGGGATATACCTTAAAAATGCAAGTCAACATAACTAAAAAATACCAGAATAGGCTATGACGTGACTAACCTGCACTGGAACGATAGCCATTCTAAAAGGAAACGTCGTGTCCGTTCTACTCCTGCGTCATCGCTTCCCCAGTGATCAAGCCCATAATTGACAAATCTAAATGAATCGCGAGCATGAAGTAAGGAAGAAACCAATTCTAAAGAACCGGACTTCTCTTACGCTACCCAACAGAAATAATTTGTATTGACCCCTGCTCGCTTAGGGGAATCAGGGAAAAAATAATATGACATGAAAAGGTAATGGGAGGAAAAACGCAGGATGTCCGCCAAGTCGGGACAAAAGAAACATGCTCAGGTACCACATCATCACGGTGGACCCTCGAGTATAATTGAATATCAATTAATATTCTCTTGTATCAAGTGGAGTGAAAAATTCGTTTAGGAAAGGATTAGGTGAGGTAAAAAAGTTTAACAACACCTTTCGCACAGCTTCACACCCTGGGCATGCAATTGACGAATTATAGCAAGCAAACTTCAAATTTTTTAACATAACATTTTAAACATACGATTTCAAGAGGTCCAGTCGTTCAGTAGCAGAAATATCCCATGTTCTTCGCTCATCTATCTCAGTGAAAATCCACGGTTTGATTAAAGCTCCACGTCCAATCATTATCCCTCCAATCGGATACTCTTCAAGACGCTGAATGAACGTTGGGCAAGTACTAATCATCTTTTTCACCTCCACAATAAAAAAGTAAAGGTCCCCACATGAATTGCGGACCATTTTAATTAATTACTCTAAAACTCTTGTGAGCACTCACTGTGAGTACCTACTTAACATTTCACAGTAAACACGAAAATATGTCATGAGAGCAGCAACGCGAAAGAAAAACGAGATTAGATACACCTCTTTGATGAAAACGCTCGAAGTCACACTTATGGAGAATCAAAGTGTTTCAGCTGGACATTCCTAGCACATCCACCCAATGGCCTTGACCGTATACCCACGAATTACAATCTCTTCCGCCTCGGGATAATAGTAATCATGTGTAATACACATCCGGTCCTTCTTTGACCAGACGGCAATTGAGTTGTACCGGGCCGGAGAACTACCCAAACGTAGGAAACCAGATAACAAGGTGCACATTGTGATCATGAAGATGTCCAAGAGAAAAATGAAATGAAAAAAGTTTGCGGTGGTTCGGAGATCATGTGATAACCTGTCATTATAGCATGTTGAATTAAGCGATATCGTATCGATAAACTTACAGTATAGTATTCCTGCCAGCTTAGTATATCGCCGCAAACCCACAGCGGTACGTCAGCGCACTCTTTGAGACAAGGATTGACGAATTCCCAGTTTGCCAATCTTGTGTACCGTTGATCCCTTCAAAACGTAGTACAAATTTAAGAAGCTTCACCGAATGTGTTGCATCTCACTTGCTTCGAGGATGAAAAGCGATTAGGTCAGGTCTGGCGATTGGTGAATTGACCATAAGTCTGATACTTTCATCAGCAGTAAGGACACCCTCTCGAATTCCAGTTCGAAGTTTGACCGTTAGAGGCACAGCACCCATCACACATCGCATGGCAGAAAGGACTTGAAACATTCTTTAGTGTGATTCAAATGAAATGGATGATTCGTTTGAATGCGTTTGTACCTAGATGTCATAGTAATGAGAGCGACCACTGAAAAATCCCAAACATGACAACTTTAAGAGAAAAAAAGGTATTCCACATGGAAAAGATGCACACTGATCATGTATGGGCATTGATTTTCGAGAAGTACCAGAATATGAGCTATGGAAAACAGTAAAAAAATCAGCGAAATCAAAGGAAAAGAATTTTTCCGGGAACATACTTCATACTCTATAATGTGATATCGGAAAAAAATTACAGAAGATTACCTTCGATCATTTTATTCGGCCTGTTGGGCAAAGCGCACCCTCCCCCTTTTTGATTAACAACATCAATGGGGCAACCCATATTCACGTCAATGAAATCAACCTGAACGGAAGTATCATGAAAAAGCCATCACTATTCAAATTGCAACGTCTTAAAAAAGAGAAACAAGAATAGCGACGTCGCACTATAAAATGGAGTGTTAAACAAATGTTCCCACTTTCATTTCGTCAACTAGAATTTGTGCAGCTCTTGCCATGGAATCCGCAAACCCACCAGCCAGTTGAACTCCGAAGATTTTTTCGCAAGGGTGACGCTTCGCCAGTGAATACTCTGACGGTGTACCTTCAAAATGTTAATTTTTGAAATATTTCAGTTAACAAGGGTACACTGTTGCGAACTCATTGAAAAACGATGCAATACGCTAAAAAATAAGGGAAACTTATTTGCACTACGCTTGAGAAAAATAAGGATAGGTATGTCCTACGATAGAGTTGTTTAAACGTTCCCAAGGAACATAGGCTTTCGATGAGGAGGTGCAACCTGCTCTGTCGGTGGGCAAGCATAACCTTCGTTTACCTAGTTTCAATATTGAGGATGATTACGCGTCCTCCAAAAGAGTTATCAGTGAGACTAGGGTGATTCAATAATCTCATCGGCAGAGAACTCAAAGGCAAAAAGAGACTGGAATACATCAGGGAGCAAGTATGGTGTGACAAAACTGAGCAACCATACCGGATCTCAGCAGCCACAGCTCACAAAAAGACAATAAATAGTCCCATTGCAAATATTTACTGGAGATCGCTCCCTGGTTGAAGCACGCTTACTCGTCTGTATCAGTGAAGCCAACAACAAGTAAATCTTCTCACAGTTGCGACATTTTCATGACGTAGTTACGCATAATATGTAGCACTCACAGACAATTCATGAAACACATTGCACATTGCGACCATTGACGTTTTCCATTCCATAACTATCATTCCACAATACCGCCAGAAGGAAGGCCACCAAAACTGAAAACCCATACGCCTACCTACGCCGAGATCACGAATTGAAACCCGTGCTCTAAAGGAGCATCAAATAACTGTAATTCATAACATTATGACCCGCCCCTCTCTAATTCCCTAATTGATCTGGGAAAACTGTCGAAGCTAAGAGCTTGTAAGTTAGAAGTTAGTCGATCTTGACTGGTTCAGATATCGTAACTTCAACAGTGCTAACGGCTAGAAACACATTGAATGTAATTGCAAGTATAACAGCAATGGTCGCATTGTAATCTTCTAGACACGCACCCACAAAAGATAGGCTATGGGACTCAGCCACAAGATACGCGCGCGCCTTGATCCCTGTTTAGAACAAGGAGACCTATTATAATGGAAATTCACAAAGTCAACAATTGGAAATCTATATACCTACCTGAAAGAAGACTAGTTGCCATTGCCATTTCACCACAAGTGATATCTGCCCCAAGCTTCACACAAAGACGTCGGAATGGAAGGTTTCCCTGTGAAAATTCGAGTAGCAAATGGTATTCTGAACGACGCGCTTGATTTTCATACAGTGGCATTTTTGCGAATCTCACGGTGGGAAGTCAGCATCCAAAGCAAATCAAATAGACTTAAGTTGTGTGATTCAATAGCAGTAGGAATGTAAAGGACTGCTATCATTAACTAACCACAGTAGTAAGGGGAGCCAGATACTTCTTCCCCTTCAAAGTCTTCATATCGAGTTTAGTTTCCTCGCTTTCCATAGCACCGATACGCCCTTCTTTGATAGCATTGACGACCTGAAATTGATCACGACAACATGAAAAGATAAAATCCAGTCGTCAACATTCACTGCTAATTAGATGTTTTCAACTGCTTCTTCGAAATCTGGGCTCAGTGAACAACTTATGGGTGAGCTTTCGGCTCCTAAGCCGTAGATGGACCGTAGGCCTTTTCACATCGACGCAAGAAGTTTAGTCAAATATCTGCACATAAAAGTAACCCTAATAACCCCTATGCTTTGCCACTACTTTTAGATAGAATTTTATCCTTCTCAATGCAGATCAGCACTAGATTCGAGCTGCTCATAAAATTCGGAACTATTACAACAGCTTTCAGAAAACGCTCTTGAACCATCTTGAAAAGCAAAGCGCAACAAAAACTTACACTGTCTGACCGCGAGAAGTCGTATGTCTTCTTTCGCAGAGCTATTTGAATATGTATTGATGAACAATTCATTGTCTCCTCATATGGGACTGAAGGTTCCTATAAACTAGGATTGCTGGGGTGTAAATAATGATAGAGAAATTTCTGACGATAAAAACCTTGGATAACTGTTTTCCTGAAGAGTCTATGTGAGCATTTCCAAATCTGCAGGCATAGCTGAAGGGGCATGTACCTCTTGCTTCAAACAAAGGACAGGTGTCGCCGATATCAGCCGGTTTTTTAGTGAGGAATGTCGGGATGTCGTGCATCAAGGTGCACTTTTCTCCAAATCTACCCAAACAGAATTAAAGAATTCGCTACTGAAATGATCATCGTAACGAAATTCACCAGACTTACTTGCACTTGACCGGTTGAATAACTGAAGGACATAGTCGTGCATTCGATGCACGTATTAATGTCTCAGCTTGCTTCATCTCTTTCCTGAATGTCACTAATTAGTTCATGGACACGACACTGCAGGAACATACCTTCTGGTTTTATTCATTCCCCTTCTTGACTTCCTGTCATCTTTATTCGTGGAGGGCGGCAAATCGAGCGTTGAAGTTTCTTGTTCATGCTCGATTTCACTGTTGGTCGAGCTCATATCGTTTAAGTCGTCAGACCCGTTGCTTCTCTAAAAACTCAGTTCTACACAAAGCATTGGAAAGATCCCGCTACAAACCTACAACCGCCTCCTTTCATTAAAGTAAGAATTATGTGACCACGACCCTCAGAACTTTGAAGATCAAGGCAACGCATTCTGGCATGTACTTTGCCAGAAACGGAAACTTCTCTAATCGTGAATTACGGACGGTTTTTGTCTCAGATAGATAATAAAAATGGCATAAGAGCTCACCTTGATTAGGAACTCGGCCTTCACAGGAGCAGTGCCTTTTTCAACTGAGGTAAGTGAAACATCTTGCAGCAGCTCGGAAATGGCTTCATAGGACATCTTCAAATCTGAACTAAGCTAACCACTCTTATTCACGATGACCAGCATTATAGCACAGATAAGCAGCGCCATTTGTCACAATATGAGCAGCAGACATATACGAGGTAATCAAAAGTTTATCAATTTACATACCGTACATATATCACATCATGGCAACACCCTAAGTATGTTGTATTTACGAATACACACGTATAAATAATTTATGTACGAAGATATATAACAGCCATAACAAAACAAAACAATTAGAGAGTACAAAAAGAAGCAAAACAACTACAATTGCATGATTTCCTCCCGAGAAGGATCATCTTCTTCCTCCCAGCGCCTTTCGTTTCGAGAAACATAGCCAGTGTTCCATTCATAATTTCGTGAATACCCGCATAATAAACATGTTCGCTGCATAACCTTCCGCTGCACAAAATTAAGTTTACACCTTTCTACCTGAAACATTGGAACCATGAATTTTCCTACTAAAACGTAACATTACAGCATGATCAAACTCTATACGTGACCAACAACTTCGCTAGTATCCATCACCCCAAAGCTCTAAATGACTAGGCGAACCACCAACACTTTTGGACATTCCGTGGACGATTCAGGTGAAAAGATTAAAAAGAATCGGCCACGGTTTCTGATTCTTGGTGAAGAAACCCAACCTAATGAGCAAGGTTAAGTAGAAGAATACGTGTAAATTATCAGAGTCATTAAGTTCAAAACGAAGGACGAAAATTTGAGAAATAGCGAGACCGCTTCGGTTTGCAGCGGCTCATGGAAGGCATTCCACAAACATTCAATACTCCTATCCTTCTTATTAAGTCTCACGCTCATCTCTCATCAGAGCCATAGCCATTAAACGGTGTATATGAAATTGATCCAAGTAATTGTTCAAGGTCCCATGCGCCCAGCTACATGGGAAAAAGACCCGAAACTATTGAAACAACATCATAGGATTACTTTCCGGGATTGTAAGTCGGATTAATAATATGAAATGCCAAAACAAACCGAGTGGGAAAAATTTCATAAGAACTGCTTGCTGCATGTTTGGGCTAGAGAGTTTTCGAAAACGAATAAACAGGAAAAAGGCGTACCTTAGCAACAAACATTTGTTTGCACTTCCGGCAAAATGTTCGTCCAATTCCTGGCTGAATCTTTACTCGCTCTGTTTTCAACACATCTTTGAATAGCTTTACGTATCGTCGAGCAAGTTTGGCGTATCCATCATTGATACCCTTGCCTAAAATGGTGGGAGCATCACTGAGTCCCTGTGCCGAAAACCGGGACCACTTACCCACCCACGCTTCTTCAAGGTTTGCTGATTAACCACGTTTGGATAAACTTGTTCCCAGGGTAATTTTGTACCAGAAATAATAAATATAAAACCTGCCTCGGTGCGATGCAATAGCCCCAACAGTAAACTTTCAAAGTTTTNGGCTTACAGCATGTACAGGCAATGCTTTCATGCAAGTTGGGTATATAATTGTCAGCTGTCTAATGAATTTTCTAATTGACAGGTTACAGCGGAGAAAGGTTCACTACGGCCTATCAGGTGTGCCGGTGCCCTTGCTCTGGGAGCCCGTGCCAAGCATTTTTGCACGAATCCAAAATACTCGCGCTCAGCCTGTCTTAGAACAAATAAGACATAAAAGAAGTTCTGCATTCCGACTGAACTTCAAGAAGGTGGGTAGGGATGGTAAACGGTAATGGGAAATTCATTACTTTGACAAGATAAGTGTGTAGCTCCTTGGTGAAGTAAATTGAGACGCATGTGCGAATCGAGAACGTGTAGTCGAGATGCATCTTCACGCTTTTCTGCTGCTTCTTTTCCCCTTATCCTTGTCGGACGACCATTTGTAGCAGTACTCGATGAAGAAGCCTTCAGAAAAGATGGCTCAGTAACACAGGTAGAATCATCCATCCTAAATACCTTTCATGCGACTTTTAAACATACAGGTTGCGGCTTTGGCGTTCTGTTAACATTCGCTGTGAGACCGCTGCTGGCATTATGCCATGTAGCTATGTGAATAATGCCCTGGTTGCGGAACGAAGGAAAATCTAAAGATATAACTGAAAGGTGCACAAAACGTTTAAAGACCTTTGTGTGCTGCGATGTGTCAGGTAAATGACCGTAGAGCACAGAATTTCACGGTTTCAGTGAGGAGTGAGCAAGGAACGAAGCTAAATCTCGCCACTGACTGCCGTCAGAATTAGTTTCCCACGCGCGAATATTTGAATGTCTCATGGACTGCTATTGGAACCATCACGCC